AGAAAAAACTGGATGTTGTATCTCCTGATTTTTGTTTTTGCTGATTTCCCTTGATCATAGCGGAAGGTTTCTTACGGCCTCCTTTGGCAACATACATAACAGTGTTTTTCTATATTTACACCAAGGTTTAGTTTAAAAGTTGATTTTGAAAAGAAGTTATGTTTTTATTTATGTATACTGGGCTATGTCATATTCTGTCTTGGATAAAATCGGTGATTTACTTAAATTAATTGCTTTTACTGGATGTAACCCTTTATTTGGACCATCTTTAGAGCGATCAAAGTGTTTTTGCAAGATAGTATCACCTTATCGTAATGCTCTTTTAAGGAAAGACTGTTGTCAGTATGCCAACCTGATTTCCCTTGATCATAACAGAAGGTTTCTTACGGCCTCCTTTGGCAACATACATAACAGTGTTTTTTCTATATTTACACCAAGGTTTAGTTTCATATGTAAATTAATGAAATATTAGCTTTTTTGTAATATCCTCTTTGCCAGATCAAAGTCGAAGTTGTGAACTAATAGGATGGAGTCATCAGCGTATTGAAAATTATAAAATTATGTTTCCAGCTGATATATAATATTGTTGCAAATTATTCATAGGCCATTGATAGTCTTAAAACTTTATCATTTCTTTCATTGTGAAAGTTAATTGTGTGAAGAATGTCATTGATGCATGTTGACGTAGTTACGTTTTTCCTACAGGCATATGATCTATGCGGAAGAAAATTATTTTCTTCAATATAGAGATTTAGGCGTTGCTTTACCATTAGATCTATTATTTTTGCAAAAACTGAAATTAAGGCAATCGGCCTGAAATTAGTGGGAATGTCCAAACATTTGTCTTTTTTTGTCATCCAGGCCAGCTGCAAATGAAAAATCATCAGATTTTTTTACATATTCGTCATTCAAAATATCTTGATTTTTATTTGGAACTTGGCCCTTTAAATGTTGTAGATAGACGACATTATTGCCGGAACACCACATAGACTGTGTCTAATTTTCAAAAAAAGATGTAGCGGAAAAGAGACTGAGTTTCAGATGGTGTTTAACTCATAGTTGTATTGGCTTACGATGACTACCATCAATTGTCGTGTTAGTAAAATTAAGAACTTGAACGTAGCAGAACCACCAAAAAAGCATCGGAATATTAAACCATCAAACAAAGTTTTCAAGGTCGAAACACGAACAGTGTTAAAGATATCTCCCTAATCTCTGCACCTTGCATTAAAGTCTCCAAGTCTCTGTTTGTTTTGCCTTCAAGCAGTGTAAAAAGATTCGATTTTTCTGTCTTAAGGTGGAAATACATAAAGGGATTTCGAGCATACTTCATTAAGTCGCATGTTCAGTCCGCTTCAAGTCAAAAGTTGAAACATATGAAAATACGTGTATCAACGTCCATTCAGCCGACTAGACATGCGGCGGCGACAAAAATGACTCAACTTTCGAAATTTTTGTCGGCTTTGTTTTTGACATTTCTTTGTGATTTATTGTCAAATTTGATAAAGAATATTTTTGTCTTCGACATCGTCCTTCCAAAATAATACTTTTTGCAGTAATTCCCCATTTGGGTTAATTTGCGATGCATTATTAAAAAATAAAATACAAGAAAAAAAACAATATATGTGTCTACTATTGTTAGCTCTACTTTATTTGTTTCTCTTGTTCAGTGTTATCAATAATATATTAAATAATGCCATTCAATATGTATAAAGTCTAACATTATATATATACTTTTTAGGTTCTCCAAATAAAATTTTTCAACTCATCTCTAAAATAAAATGCCCTTTTCGTGGCATTGTTTGAACTAATGTTTTTCAATTTTTGTCAAGATTAATTGTTATAAGCTGCAAAGTCTAGGGCGAATTATTTTTCATCCTTATCCTTGATAAAGTTATGCAGGATAACTGTTGCTTTCACAATATTTTCAGCGGTTGGGGGATGCATATTTAATGGAGATAATAGTACCCGTCAAAATACCAATTGTATTTTCTATGGTCCTCCTGGCTCTAGATAGCCTCATATTGAATTTTTCCCTATCTGCAGGAAGAAATGATCCTGGATAAGGACGCATGAGGTTCTCACGAAGTGGAAAGGCAGCGTCGCCTACAAAGAAGTAGGGCATATTGACTCCACCGTGTTGGCGCGTCTAAAGGGAGATCCAAATTATTAATAAACAGCCGTTTTCCAAATTGGGAATTTCCCGTCACTTTGGGATCCATACGCTCCGATATCAACCATACTCAGTCTGTAGTTGGCATCACAAACGGCCATCAATACGATTGAGAATGTACCTTTATAGGAAATTTGTGGGTTATGTCTGCAAATTATAAAAAATATTGTACATGCCTTTGTAATTGAAATATAGTGATCCCGAGTTCGGGGGACATCTAATGTGGATGTGTTTTCCGTCAATAGTGCCGACGCAATGACGAAAGTTCCACTGTTTTTCAAACTCTTGTGCATTCCTTAGCCAGTCTGCTGTGGTTGGGACCGTCATATATAGAGGTCCAAGATTTTTCCACAATTTTCCAGTTGTTTCTCTTATATTACTTCGGACTGTTGACGCTCCCATTTTAAACGTTAAAGACAAATACTTAAAACTATCACCGTGTGCCAGATATCTGAAAATATATCAATGAAGGCTATCATCTTTCAAAATGTATCACAGTGAAATATTAGGTTTGGTGCCATGCCCAATTCCAAATATTAATTTCATGTGAATTAATATACTTACATCAAAGATAAAAACAATCTACATTTTGCAGATATAACAGGTCTATTTGAATTTTTATACAAGTCCGCTTCCATAATCCCATAAAGGTCATCAAAAACGGCAGTACTCATTCGTGCCATTGCCTGGAACTCTTCCCGGTCACTGCTATACAGCTTTTCAAAAGTAAGGGCGAATAAACCAGCAATGTCCCTGTCCGGTACAGTGGCCTTACCCAAAATCGCCGGTTTCTTTTTTGCGGTAGATCTTCCAGAATATCAATTAAATCTTTGAGAACGTTCACATAAAACAACAATTGTTCGTAATCCATATTTGATTTTTTTTTTTTTTCAAATAAAAACAAATGCAAATGTCAGTAATATGCCGACCTACTAAGCATTTTATGTACGTTACAAAAAATGAGCGATTTTGCGAAGTCAGCCACTCAGCGGAGCCATGAAGACACACAGTTTATGTACCCTCACCTTTAAAATGATTAGATTTAACGGAATGAGGAAAATATACTGACACGAAGGTAAAATTGTGGCATAATTTTGTAGTTTCACAGACTAAAATTTTCAAAGTCGTATTTAAAAAAATTTTTTCATAAAAATATTGTTCTTATGTAAAAAGGCTATACCACGAGAATTGTCGCTTCGCTTTTCTTTGCAAATCAATTATAATTCCTTAGGAGATAGTTGTAATTGTTTTCGTTGTCACTAAAAATTTCACTGAGTAAAATATTTATGTATAATTCGAGAAAGTTTTTGTTTATACAAAGTCTGAATGCCGTACTGCAAAATTCTTATTTTTGTTTGGGAATATTCAGAGTTTCCTTCTGAAGCTATTTTCAGTGCACTTGCAAAACATCGTGGACCTATATAGGCAATTCTCAATTCCATTGAAAAATGTGGCTAAAATCATCAAAATACCGAATATCGGGGAGGTACAGCTATATGGGGGCTATACGATATCGTGGGATAATTCTCTTCCAAGGGACTCCTTGTGTGGATTTTCAGACCATTCCAATGAAAAATGTGGCTAAAATCATCAAAATACCGAATATCGGGGGGTACCGTTGTATGGGAGCTATACGATATCGTGGGCCGATAAAGCCCATCTTGAAAGATCTGTGCGTGATTACAACAGAGGGACGGATAGGGCTAAATCGTCTTAGAATTTTACGCTTATCAAGAATATATATACTTTGTTGGGTCTAAAATGATTACTTCGATGACTTACAAAAGGAATGACGAACTTAATATACCCTCCATACTATGTATGGTGGAGGGTATAAAAAATAACAAGTTAAAAAGCAGTAAGTTCGGACGGGCCGAACTTTTAATACCCTCCACCATTTGCAACGAATTTGGAAATTTTCAAAAAATAAAATCCTTAAAAAATTCTGTTAAAATTTTAAAAATACCGAATATAGCCGTTATTTTGGGGTCTATACGACGTGGACATACATAGGCATTGTTTGTCATAAGCCATTACCATATTCAAATTCGAAACTTGAAATAAACGGTGAATAATGTAGCTAAAATCATCAAAATACCGAATATAGGGAGGTACCGTTATATGGGGGCTATATGAAGACGTGGACCTGCACAGACAATTTTCTGTCTCAGGGTGTAGTATTCATTTTGAACTTCAAATACCAAATTTGAAACAATTCTGGCAAAGAATGTCGCTAAATTCATCAAAATACCGAATATCGGGAGGTACCGTTATATGGGGGCTATACGAAGACGTGGACCTGCACGGATAATTTTCCGTCTTAGGGTGTAGTATCCATTTTGAACTTCAAATACCAAAATTGAAACAATTCCCGTGAATAATGTCGCTAAAATCATCAAAATACCGAATATAGGGAGGTACCGTTATATGGGGGCTATATGATAACTTGGACCTACATGGCCCATTTACGAACTTAACCTGCCTACTGGAAAAATAAACATGTGTGCAAAATTTTAGCCACCTATCTCAATTCATTCGAAAGATAGCGTGATTACAACAGACAGACAGACGGACATCGCTAAATCGACTTAGAATTTTACGCTGATCAAGAATATATATACTTTGTTGGGTCTGATATGAGTATTTCGAGGAGTTACAAACGGAATGACAAAGTTAATATACCCTCCATAGTATGGTGGAGGGTATAAAAAGTAATATTTGACTTCAAAGTCTTGAATTTATCAGCCCATTATTTCATTGTATAACATCGTATTGAAAGTGTTGCCATTTATGGAAAAATTTCGTTGTACAGCATTTTCGATTTATAAATCCCTACTTATGTCAATCAAAATCTAAAAATACTCTTCTCCAAGGGAATAAAATCATACAATTCCAATTTTTGTATGAAATCCTGCCAAAGGAGAAATCTGAACACAATAAAACATGTCATAACAAACTCCAGAATCCATCAGTCCCATAGAAGTTGTATATCTAATTGTAGTACCATTAGTTCATTAAAGAATTTATATATAGACAAATAAGGAGGCATGGCGAGTATAACAACCATAAATTGGCTTTTTATATGTGGCCTATTTTTCTGTTTGGGCGGTGTTGCGGTGCTAAGTTTTATGTCCTTACCTTCAGGTGAGTTTGACGAATCGGTTTACTGTGGATAACATGCTTAACATTGTCTTGTAATTTTAGATTGCATTTGTCCCATAAGCAGACCAAAGCCTAAAGAATCTTCCGACTTGTTGAACAAACCACCGGATCAGTTACAAGTTGTACATAAGTTAGCCATTTTAGTGCCATTTCGAGATCGTTTTGAGGAGCTATTACAATTTGTGCCACACATGACAAAGTTCCTAAAGAAACAAAATGTCAATCACCATATTTTTGTTTTAAATCAGGTGGATCGTTACCGCTTTAACCGTGCCTCTCTGATAAATGTTGGCTTTCGTTTTGTTAGCGGTGTCTATGATTATGTTGCCATGCATGATGTCGATTTGTTGCCTTTGAATGATGATCTACATTATGAGTATCCAAGTGATGCTGGCCCATTACATATTGCCGCACCAGATTTACACCCGAAATATCACTATGAAAACTTTGTGGGAGGCATACTGTTGGTGAGAAATGATCATTTTGAAAAAATGAATGGAATGTCAAATAAGTACTGGGGATGGGGTTTAGAAGATGATGAATTTTTTGTACGAATCAGAGACGCCGGTTTAAAGGTGACAAGGCCGCAGGGTATCAAGACTGGAGTAAACAATACATTTAAGTAAGTTATAATCAATTATTCATTCATATGATTATCAAATAAATTTCTTGCTATTTTTAAAGCCATATACACAATCGTTACCATCGTAAACGTGATACACAAAAGTGTTTTAATCAAAAAGAAGTAACCCGTAGACGAGATCGCGAAACGGGTCTGAATACTCTACAGTACAAAATAACCAAGGTTCATGACATGTTTATCGACGGCACACAGATAACAGTGCTCAACATTGAACTGGAATGTGATTTGGATAAAACACCGTGGTGTGACTGCAGTGGTAATGCCCAGGCTGCCGCGGAAGAACAAATGAAACAGTGATAATAACAAATAAAATGTCATAAGTAATACAAAACTTTTTGTCCTATAAATTTGTTGTTTTTTTATTTATTTAAATTAAACCTAAGCCACACAAAAAGTCCACAAAGTACATGTATTTTTTTAGTATACATGAACCATACCGTACAGGAATGTCCAAAAGAGTACATAGGTACACAGAGCTCCCATGAAACTATTTGTCAACAAACTTTGACGATTGATAAAGAATTTCCGCCAGTGGGTACCAGATTTCATGAGGACCAAGAGCCACAGAACAAACACTGAAAGGAAGTAAAACAAGAATCCCAGGAGGCCATTCAAACCCAATATACCTAAAAAAGTTTAAAATATGGCAATTAAGTGTTTACTAGCAATATATATATATGTGTATATACCCGCAGCACAGCCGGAAATGGCTGCCATAGATGTGCGACAATACTCTACAGCAGATATATTATTTCGTATGGCTGCTTCACTGTAGGCGATAAGTTCCCCAGTTTTCGATGATGTTGGTTTTACACGCTGCATTTTGAAATGTTAATCAATAAATTAAAAGTTAAAAATCTGAAAAAAACACGACACAGTGAACTCCGAACTCATTCAATAGTGAAAATAATTAAATGCTGTCAAAAACATATGGTTATTGGATGTGTTTAGTTATCATAAAATAGGTATGCCTAGATCGATTTTTGTAAAGACTCCAGACAAATTTTCAATTGTGCCTACACAAAAAGATTTGCATGGTTAATGTCTTAGGGTGGAAATACATAAAGCGCATGTTTGGCTGGTTTAAGTCATCGGCTGGCTTCTTCATAGATGAACAAAGGAGTTTTAGGTTGACTTAGTTTGATTTTGGCCCTAGGCTCCTTTGTTCATTTCCGAAGAAGCAAGCCAAATATGCGCTTTATGTATTTCCACCCTTGATATCAAGGTAATGCCATGTTTACGTTAGAACTTTTTGTAGAGTTAACCTACTTTGAGAGGATTTATTTGAAGTAAAAATAATGGATATGACAATTTAAATCCAAACCCAGTGGGTTAACCCTCATATATATAAACGTACTATAAGGCTATGATACGATAGGATTTTAATTTTTTTATTTTCTTGGCTTAGTATGTCATATTTATTTGTTTATGTATGTGTTTTCTTTTCAATAACAAAAAAAATTGTTCAGAAAAGATTCAAATTCGGGTGTTTTCAAAATGTTTATTTCAACGTATGCAACGACAAAATCTAAAGTTTTTGTAGCGAAATAATCCTTTAGACATTACAAGCCAAACAGGTAGACCTCTATACTTGCAATTTTTTCAAAGTTGGGCTACCTTCTCCTCATTGTTACATGTTTCCACCCTTATGCATGGTTAAATTAAGAAGAATATTAATTTCAATTACAATTTCATTTTGCGTTTATTTTCGAAGGTACAAAACCATTGCTGTGCACATCAAAACAACACGAAATTCGATCAAATTCGAGATTTTAATAAATATTATAATATTATAAAATAGAATTGCAAAAATTTATAAAAAAAAAAATATAATAACTTTGAGCCAATTATAGACATGAAATTATTTCCGGTGTCATCTTTACTCTACGAAAAGTGAAATTGTTCAAAGAGGTTTTATATAAAGTTGTATTGGCCGAAGCATACAACTTGGCTGCCCTCCAAGTTGGACCAACAGGTATATAGTGTGGGGCTTACATTACATTTAAAATGCAGAGGTATAGTTTTTATTTCATAAATAAAATTTTTGTGAGAAAACTATCAAATAAACGAAACAAAAATACATAAAAGGCTTTTTGACTGGCTTAAGTCATTCATCGCAGAGGAACAAAAGTATTTTAGGTTAACTTAGTTTGATTTTGGTCCTACGTCCATTTGTTCTTTTCCGAAGAAGCCAGCCGAAGACTTAAAGGTGAGAATACATAAAATTCTTTTTTTGCCTGGCTTAAGTGATTAGCTGGACATGTATTTTTATAAATTTAATAAATAAAACAAATTTCAAAATTGAACAATTTTAACACTGAAAAATATACAATTTCTTTTTTTCTTAAGTTGAAAATAGAAATTAATGTGACTATTTGTAATTGGAAAATTTGATAATTTTTCAAAATTATCAATTTTTACAACATTATAAATTGGTACATTCTAGGATTTGTACCTGGCGTATTTGGGTAGTACGGACATGTGTACGCGACGTCGAATTTTAGGTAACGCTGTACTCTAAATTTAGGTAAATCTCATAAGGTGAACTTACGTGGTTGTGCCATAGTAGCATGCGGTTATATACACTAAGGTGCCAACCGCTGGTCGTAACTCACGATTCTTATATCGTAGAATCCCTCGTATTCGATCACCTTCGTTTTTTAATTCATACCTTTTAAGGAATAAATAACTAGTTCGATAGCCCTCTCAGTGAAACGTTCAACTAAATTTTAGCGATCGCGAACTAAAAAGCCCTGTTAACAGTTGTTTTTGACATTTTATCAAATAAATATAAATTCCAATTGGCTGTATTGTCCGTCGGAGAAGGAAAATTAAAAACTAATTAAGCGCGATGAGAATAATCGTAAAATCGTAATGATTTGCTATGCAATTGAAACTAGAGACAGAATGATATTCGTAATTAGAGTAAACTGAAAAAATTTGGAAAATTTAACTGGCCATTGAAAACGACAACAACAACAAAGACACACACATATATAATTAATAGAGTTCAAATAAAACTTAAAAGTAGGCAGAGGAATAGTGATTGTTGATGACCTATCAAAGATGTCACCAATTAATAAAGTCTGTGCCGTATGTGGAGATAAAGCGTTGGGTTACAATTTCAACGCAGTTACATGCGAAAGCTGCAAAGCATTCTTTCGCCGTAATGCCTTAGCTAAAAAACAATTCACCTGTCCATTCAGCCAGAACTGCGAAATTACGGTGGTTACTCGTAGATTTTGTCAAAAATGCCGTCTTAAGAAATGCTTAGACATCGGCATGAAGAGCGAGAATATAATGTCAGAAGAAGACAAAATGATAAAGCGTCGCAAAATAGAGACAAATCGCGCCAAACGTAAATTAACAGAACGTAGCCAAGCAGGTGGTGATGGTGATGAGGAAGGCAATGTAGAGGGTCCAGGTAACATTGCAGCGGCAGCAGCCGATAGCAGTGGATATGATGCAGGATTAGCAGCAGCAAATTATGACTCGCGTAGCTGTGGTTCATATGACAGTAGTACAGGTTCGGCTAAGGTATCTGCAAATGACCCATCAAGCTCCAATTTGACATTCGGAGATAATATGGCCAATATTAATCCAGAGCTCATGACTGGCGAGGAAATGGTGGAATTTATCGTAAGTGATCCGGACCGTGCCTCACAAGCTATCAGCAAACTAATGCGTACACCTGCTGAAGCAATGTCATCGTTAGAGAAAATAATCAACTCCCAAAAAGATGCTTTGCGCTTGATATCACATCTTATCAACTATCCAGGTAAATAAGGGTTATCAAGAATTGTAAGAATTGTAGTCTAAAAATAGCCTTAAACCAATTATACGCACGTATGTGCCAATACAAAAACTTATTTTAAATGTTTACGACAAGTTTCTAGTTATACCCTCCACCTTGGAAAGGAGGGTATATTAACCTCCCGATATTCGGTATTTTGATGATTTATGCCACATTTTTTTACGGATTTGTCTTAAAATTGGTATTTGTAGGTCATAGCGGGTCCTTGAGCGTGTGGCAAAACATTGCATGTATAGGTCCACGTTGTGGTATAGCCCCATATAAAGGTACCTCCCGATATTTAGTATTTTAGTTTTTTTTTACCACATTTTTTCACGGATTTGTCTAAAAATTGGTATTTGTGGGTCAAAATGGTTTCCAGCTCCGGTGGCAGAACATTGCATGTATGGGTCCATAATTTGGTATAGCCTCCATATAACGGTACCTCCAGATATTCGGTAATTTGATGATTTTTGCAAAATTTTTTCACGGATTTATCTGAAAATCGGTATTTGTTGGTCATAATGGGTTCCAGCTCCGGTGGCGAAACATTGTAATTATAGGTCCACGTTTTGGTATAGCCCCCATATAACGGTACCTCCCGATATTCGGTAATTTGATGATTTTTGCCTAATTTTTTCAGGGATTTGTTCGAAAATTGGTATTTGTTGGTCATAATTGGTTCCAGCTTCGGTGGCGAAACATTGCATGCATGGGTCCATGATTTGATATAGCCCCCATATAACGGTATCTCCCGATATTCGGTATTTTGATGGTTTTTGCCACATTTTTTCACTGATTTGTCTAAAAATTGATATGTGTGGGTCATAATGGGTTTCAGCTCCGGTGGCGAAACATTGTAATTATAGGTCCACGTTTTGGTATAGCCCCCATATAACGGTACCTCCCCATAATCGGCATTTTAATGATTTTTGCCACATTTTTTCTAATGTTTCTTTTACCCTAAGGTGGAGGGTATTAAAAGTTTGGCCCGGCCGAACTTAATGTTTTTTTAATTGTTTTTCTAAAACCTTTCGAATATACAACCGATCGATTATTTCAATTTTCATTTTTTACATCTTCTGACCGTTCCTTTCGCAACATATCATGTTCAGGGCTCCAACCATTTAAACTGTTTTCTCATTTTGGCTTATACGACAATTTATAAAATTAAACACATATCTAAATAAGTATTTATCCGTGTATTTTATTTTTCCAACTGTACTTTTAGGCGATGCTTTGAAGATAATTAGCAAATTTATGAATTCCCCATTTAATGCCTTAACAGTATTCACCAAATTCATGAGTTCACCCACCGATGCATTAGAGATTATATCGAAAGTCGTTAGTTCGCCCCAAGATGTTTTACAATTTATCAAAAACCTTATGGACTCGCCTGAAAATGCCATGGATATAATGAATAAATTTATTAACACTCCGGCAGAGGCGTTAAGGATGTTGAATCGAATTTTAAATAATGTGGGCGACGAATCACAACAGACTTTATCCAGTGGCGATTCAACAATAGAGCCAACCACACCGAATACTGCAGGAGAATGTAAGACCGATGAACAAATTACCATGACAAATACTTTAACAGCAACTGTAACAAGTTTAACAACTGCTGCATCACAAACCGCGACACCAGATAATACTTTAATACATTCTATGCTTAATTATCCAAGTCCAAATGATTTAAATTCAAATATTTTGCCACCGATTACATCGCCATCGCCCAGTACACCATATTCGTTGGATTGTAACAGTTATGTTACCCCACCACCTTCGGCGCCAGAACCTTTGTGTATGGTGGCATCACCTCTAGACTATCAAAATTCGTCACCCGCTATTACCAACAGTGGTCCTTCGTCGATTGTATCGTCTCATGCTGACGAACAACCTAGCACTTCAAATGTGGGTCTTCTATCTCCATCAGAAGTCGATGCTGCAGCTGCTGCCGAATTTGCCAGTGAACATTTTGATATCAAAACATTCATACAAAACTCATTTCCAGAAAATGCAACGGGCCACTATACGCCTGGTGATAGTTTAAATTCCTTAGAAACAGTGTTAACCGAAGTAATACGAATAGAATTTCAAGCATTCAATAACTTACCACCCGATCCACGAGTAAAGCAAGAACATTTCAATAATAATAATAACATGATGGGGCTTAATAGTGCATCATCATATGGCACTGGCTGTGCAAAAAATGTAACTTGCATGCCACAACAACAGCCTCTACAATGTCAACAACAAGTGTGCTCTCCTTCTAGCGTCAGTATGTCAAGAGATTTAAACGAAACTGAAATGATGAAGCTGCGTGAGTTAAAATTAGCCAGTGAAGCTCTTTATTTGCCCGTTGATGATGACTTGAGTGTTTTAATGAGCGACGATAGAATAAAGGTAAGTGGTTTTGTAGTTGAAGTTTTTACCATTCGTATTATAAAAATGTTTTTCCAAATACTTTAATCTCCATATCAATTGAATTGTACAAAAAGTATTTTAAATCTGTTATTGATCGAATATAAATGAAATGTTAATTAAAATCGTTTTTAAAAATCAAAAACTATGTGTCAACATATTAACGGGTTTCTTTTCATACCCTCCACCATACATAGTATGGAGGATATAAAGAGTTTGTCAATCCGTTTGTAACTCAACGAAGCAATAATTTTAGACCCAACTAAGTATATATACAGGGTGAGATGAAAAAACTGCAACCAACTTCAGACTGCTGTCAGTTCTAAGCCACTGGCTCGACTGCTGTTATAGCATGTTTCCATTAGAAACCGAACAACGTTGTTCGCTCTCAGAATTAGGTACACGAATTAACCCGTTCATACGGCACGATTCGTAATTCATAGTAAAATAATTCCTTTTTTCAAAAATTTTGTTTGTTGATTTTAATGGGAATTTATACGAAAATACATGAAATTCTCACTAATATGAATAGAAGAAATTATTGTTTTCCTCCCAAAAATTTATTATATCATTAATTTTACAATTTTCATTCACGATTTCAACTTTTTGTGTAAATGTTGACATTTTGAACACATTTTTGTGTTTTTCCATTTTTAAATTCTGCTGGAGAGACACTTGTCAAACATTTTTTCTGCCGATAGAAACATTTTGAAAATGTTGCCTCTTTTGTTTGCGTTTTCTGTGGAAATTTTAACTCGTGGACAAAATGCGTACCTCGAATGAGAGAGAAAACATAATTTACTTTCGTTTGAATGTACATACGCCATTCAACATTGTAGTTTTCATTCATAATTTTCAGTCTTCCCGAAAATTTTTAAAATTTCATCAAATTTTTCTATTTTTAATTTTTAAATGTCATAATTTATTTTTTCGATAAATGCTCTCATTTGTTAGGGATGGGACATATTTTATCGTTGTTCTGAGAGTGATTTGATTTGAACAACGTACAAATATGAGTGTTCGCTCAGGAAATTTTGTGTGAAGAATTAGGTAGTTTTTTCATAGTTAAGGGTCAAACAACGAATAGAGAGCGAATCAAGTGCAGTGGAAACGCCACATTAAAATTATTCCAGTGACAGCTCATTATATTAGGTGTGTCTGGTTACCCTAAATTTTTTAACAATTGTTACAAATTGTTACTGGAAGTCGTCTGTTAACCCGAATGTTCTGCAAAAGACAGCGGTTGGAGAGAGAAATTCTGACAGTTCTTTCAGTAAGAGTCTTCAAATTTTTGCTGGACAAATTTGTTCTTGTAATCACTTGCAACCCTTCTTCTCATTCAATCAGATGTTTTCTATAGTTTGTTTATATATATATATATATTTTTTTTTTTTTTTTTGGAATAAGCAAGACTAATTGTTTTTGTACAACAACTTTACAAAATGTGAAAAAAGTAAAAATTAATATGTAATAATTAAATAAAAGGCTGTTTCTAAAATTTTTAAACAAACGCCATTAGCAATATGTTTAAAGGGTTCCGGGGAACACATCAAATCTATTTTTCTTTTATTGCTAATTTCCTTTTTATTTATAAAACTTGTAAAATTAGTGTTGCTTCCTTTGTTTTTTATTTTTTTTTTTTTTAATGAGGGACAAATTGGTTTTTTTTTTGACAAACTTTTCGCATTTCCTTGCAAAAGAGAAAAAAAATAACTTACTCTCTCAGAAAGAAGTTGCTGGACAATTCCTGCTGGAAAAGTAACCAGACACACCTATTCTTGGGTGGCGTGTGCTGAGTGCGATGCTGTTGAGTCCTGTTGGAATGTCCAAAGTCTGCGGCCAAAATGTTTGCGTGCCCAAGGCTTTCATACTCCCTCCAGAATATTTTCGAGATGTTATGCTGTTATGGCGGCCCACACCATCACCATGGCCGGCACTTGAGTTCTGGTGGCCAACTGAAGGTGCACATTTTCAGCTGACCTCTCTGGCAAACACAATCATTTTGTTTGTTTACAAACTGCAGGACAACGAATGTTTTCGCATCGGAGAAAACCAAATTCGGCGGTTCACCACTTTCCGCCAAGCGAAGCAACTCTTAAGCTCTTTTGAGTTTTTTTCTTTCTGTTGCCGTGTAAATTCTTGCACTTTTTTGAATTTCAATGGCTTACCCGGAGCTCATTTTTCAATACTTGCGAATGGAATATTGCTATATGCTTAGCTCACGAGCTATTTTTCAGCCACTGCGACTCGGGTTGCGATTAAGTCGCTTCTTAAGTTTTCGACGTCGGGCTACACTACCAGCATCACGGTAACGAGCCAAATATAAAGAAATCACACCATCATGCTTGAATTCCATCACGAATAACTGTTTTTCTGGAAAATTCTCACCAAAATGCTTTTGTACGCTTGTAAACAATAAAATGAGCTGTCGCTGGAATAATTTTAACAGCCTTTGAAATGACAGCAGTCTGAAGTTGGTTGCAGTTTTTTTCATCTCACCCTGTATATTCATTATCAGCGTAAAATTATAATCCGATTTTATGCTTTCTAAGAAATTGAGATTGAGTGCTGAAATTTGGTACACGCCTGTGTATGGGTCTGAACTAAGATCAAGTTCGAAGATAGGCTATATTGGCCAACTGTTTCATATAGACCCGCTCATTTTAAGAATTTCGATTATTTTCTGCACATTTTTCAACGGAGTTGTCCTATATTTGGTATTCAAAGGTTTTTACGTGTCCCGGTTTCTAAATATGGTAATGAAGACGGAAAAAAAAACTCTTGAGCCCTTTTCCTTTGTGTGTTCATTACTTTTGGAATTTGTTTAACAAATTCGATATTTTGTCATTGTATTGAATTAAAGCTAGATTTCCTACAAATATTAAGAGTATCTGAGTATTTTGACAGTAAATTATTGTCAGTAAGTTCTTTCGATCTTACTAATCGGTTTCTAATGTGGATTGAATTAAAGTGGAATTTTTGGAATATTATTAGGGTTTTCTGAGTATTTTGTCAAGTATATATTTAAATTAAGTTCTTTGGAGAGAGAGAGAGACTAAAACAATTCATATTCATTGTGCATATTAAAAATATAACATCCAGTAAAAATCAATATTGATTTCACTTGTGTAGAGCTGCCTTTTTGAACTTACAAAAGTGTACTCAATTATTTTTTATTACTCACAATATAAAAACTACAGAAAACATGCGGACCCTCGCTTTATTTATCACTTCTTTTCTATTTTATTTTTCATCAAATACTTAACCTTTCCATTTATTAATCTAAATTTTAATTTATACAATTTTTGTAGAAATTTATTTGATTTCCCTGACATAGTTTTGGCACTCCTTGAAGTTATTTTCCCCAGTATATGTATAGTTGGCCTTAAATAATGTACTTTGCATTGGGTAAATAAAAATGTTTAAACTGAAATAAACATTAATATTCTTGGCATAACAAAAAACGGTAATGTGCCACTTGAAGAACAAAATATATTCAATTTCTATTAAACGAAAACAGTATTGATGATATTATCTTATCATTTTTCATTGATTTAGAAATTGAACACCTGTTGGTGGTACTAAAGCTTAAACCTATACCTTTATATGAGTCAGTTGAAATTTCTTTGAACAGATTCCCTCGTTTTTTCCATACAAGTAAATAATTCATATCAGTTAGTGTTAATATACAAAACGCCTATGAAAAACGGTTATCAAACTTCTCACAAAACATTTTCTATATAAACAACAATTCTTCTCTAGTTGATACAATTTTTTTTTTTTTTTCAATCGTTAAAACACCTGTGAACTGAAGAAATGCTTACTTTTATCAATGGGCCGTTATCAATGAAAATATCAGGCCAACAGAAATATCTGTTGGCGAGGTTTGATATGATACGAATGTTTGGTTTATTATATTGCATACGATATCATTTTAAACGTTTATCATTTCACAAATGTGTGTTCGCTTAATTAACACATCAAGGGATAACACTTGCCCATCATTCACAAATTGCATTAACAATGAAGTTAATTTGAATAGTTTGATAGTAATGATTCCATGTTGAACCAAATTGTAAATTATAGATTCAATGCACATAGTTGTTTACAATATATGTGCACGCATATACCCCAGGGGGATGTGGTGCGTTTGTTGTTAAGTTTTATTCAAATTGCGAAAACAAAAAATTAATTTTTCCCATCCAAAAAAAAAAGATTTTTTTAAATAATATATTTTTTTCAATAACTTGTTTTCGTTCATTCCATTGCAGCCAGGAGATAGTCATCAAGATCCAAAATTGCTACAAGTAATTAACTTAACAGCAGTTGCAATAAAACGTCTAATAAAAATGGCAAAGAAGATAGCTGCCTTTCGTGATATGTGCCAAGAGGATCAGGTTGCCTTACTAAAAGGCGGATGTACGGAAATGATGATTATGCGCTCCGTAATGACATATGACTATGACCGCAATACCTGGAAGGTAAATTGAACAATTCAAATGCATCTGTTACAAATAAAACTAATCTTTTTATTTACTTCAGATACCCCATACCAAAGAAGATATGTCAAATATCAGAGCAGAAGTTTTAAAATTGGCCAAGGGCAATGTCTATGAAGAACATATAAAGTTTATAAGTACATTCGATGAAAAATGGCGCATGGATGAAAATATTATTTTAATAATGTGTGCGATTGTGCTATTCTCTCCAACACGGCCACGTATTATTCATTCCGATGTTATACGTTTAGAGCAGGTGGGTAAATGCTTTTAGCTTTTCTAATTTTCTTTTAATGTAAACTTATCATTCTTTAGAATTCCTATTATTACCTTCTGCGAAGGTATTTGGAATCTGTCTATCCCGGCTGCGAGGCCAAATCGGCTTTTATAAAACTAATACAAAAAATATCAGACGTTGAACGTTTGAATCAATTTATAATTGGTGTCTATTTAAATGTAAATCCATCACAGGTTGAACCTTTACTAAGAGAAATATTTGATTTGAAAAATCATTAAAATTTTAATATTGTTGTTACCTCAAATGTCCTTAATTCCTACATCATTTAAAAATTACCTTTAGTTTAAATCTTGTTTTAAACCAATATGTTTCCTTTTTATCTTGTTAAATGTTTTTGTAAGCATAAAATGCTTTGTAACGTCTATATTTTAATTGTAACATACAACAACAACTATACAACAAAATAGTATTAAACATTAAGTGTTCTATTTTGTACTTGTGATAAATGTACAAAAAAGTAAATAAAATAAACCAAGTAACCTAAATCTACATTAAAAATAAGCATAAAAATGTCTATATTTACAACATTATATGTATGTCTACAAAATCTAAATATTATTTATCAACTTTATTGTGCAATAGAAAATATTTTACCAATATTTCAAAAGCTACGCTGATATACGATTTTGCTTCAACAAATAAATAAATTTAGTATTGAAACACAATGTGGCTGTCCCAGCAGAACCTACAAGAATCTACTAGTTTTTGATTTTTTTTCGATATCATGTAGGGATAATATTCAGTAAAAACTTTTACATTCTTGCAGTTCTGGAACAGACCAAATGTCTTTTTATTAAAAATATCTAGCCATCAAAGGTAAAACGTTATCCATTAATTTGCTTTAATGGATTTAAGGATAAGAACTTTGGCCTATGGTATTAGTTATCAGCAAAATAAATGGAATTTTTCCACCAACACGCTTGTGTCAATACGTCCCGGTCGTTTGTTTTTTTTTTTTTTTGGTTACTATATCTATGTGTTGACAATGACTAAGCAAAAATCATGGCACAAATAAAGCTTAATGTACAATAGTATAGCAGCTACCGGTTTAGTTAGTTATTATTTTTTTGATTGTGTCCGACCTTTGCAAACTTGTCTTTTTTTAAAGCATATCACAATTTCATACAGGGAGAGATAAAAATAACTTCAACAAAGTCAAACGCCATAATTTTTACATTTTTTTTTTTTAAATTTTATTGAATGAAAGCAAAAAATTATGGAAATAGCATCAAATTTTAGAATAAGTTTGTCCGAATTGTTTATCTTTGGCACGAATTATGGCCTTCAAACGGCCAATAAAACCCTCACACGCTGCCCGAATGTTGTTCTGCGGTATTTTGGCCCATTCCCGGCGAAACTTTGTTATTTTTTAGTGCCAACCTTGCTTTCCAAAATACTCCAGACACAATAGTCCAACGGATTGGTATCCGGAGATTTTGGTGGCCATTGTGCGCTGAAGATGAAGCGAGGAACCTCACTTTGCAACCATTTCTGGGTGGCGCGTGTTGAGTGCGATGGTGCTGAGTCCTGTTGGAATTTCCAAGGTCTGCGGCCAAAATGTTTGCGTGCCCAATACTTTAATACGCCCTCCACAATATTTTCGCCATAATATTCGGCATTTATTCTGATGCCACGGCCGATTAATACGAGCGGAGAGCGACCATCGGCACCATCACCATGGCGGCGCTTGAGTTCGGGTGCCAACCGAAGGTGCACATTTTCAGCTAACCTCTTTGGCAAGTAAACACAACATCTGTTTGTTTACAAATTGCTGGACAACGAATGTTTTCTCATCGAAGAAAACCAAATACGGCAGTTCACAACTTTCGGCCAAGCAAAGCAACTCTTTAGCCCTTTTTTGAGTCAATTTTCTTTCTGTTGCGGCGTAAGTTCTTGCACTTTTTTGAATTTCAATATCTTTACCCCAAGCTCATTTTTCAATACATGCCGAATGGAATATTGCGATATGTTCAGCTTACAGGCCATTTTTCGGCCACTGCGACGCGATCAAGTCGCTTCTTTACTTTTCGAACCATTTCTTCTGAAGTTGCTGTTTTCTTCCGTCCACTCCCTTGATGTCGGGCTAAGCTACCAGTATCACGGTAACGAAACACAAAAGATTTATTCACATTTAAATGCTGGAGTTGAAATTCTCTGGGAAATTCTCACCAAAATACTTTTGTACGCTTGTAAACAGTATAATGAACTGTCACTGGAATAATTTTAACAGCTGTCGGACGTGTGGCTTGGAAATGACAGCAGTCTGAAGTTGGTTGTAGTTTTTTCATCTCACCCTGTAGTTATTATTTTTTTGATTGTGTCCCACTTTTTGTATCGATTTATTACTTTTGCATATGGAATAATCATAATTCAGATATATTTTTTTAAGTTAATCTAAATATTATTTTAAAATGGCGATATATTCGACAGCGTAGGACAACTACAACAGGAGATTCTGATCTCAACCCTGCCAAACTATGACTAAGAAATTATCTTAACGGTTGCGAACTCCTGAAAAGTTTAGGGATCGTAGGTCTCGTTATTGCGAGATAAAAAAGTACCACAAGGAGAAGTCTTACCCTTTTTATTTTGTTCTTGCACGATTTCCTCAACCAACACCGGTTGGTTGGTTATCAGCATTCAACACAGATGATATAAGTCTCCACATAAAACACAATCTAAATAAGAGACAGTGTTGTCGCAAAAAAAAAATCCACATTAGAAAATCTATTTGCAAGGACCACTCACGATTCAAGTTATCATTGCACCATGGACCTACTCAAAAGCTTTAGAAAAATTACACAAAAATATATAATCCTTGGTTTTGAATGATAGAAGCGGAATTAACTGATCCAATATAATAGAGCTGAACATCGCAACTTAAACACACATTCCCCAAATATAAAGCACACACCACGAAAGACTTTTCAGCTGTACTTATAAAACGTAGCTGGGAATTCCTTGACGATCTACACAAATTGAAGTAGCAGAACAGCTACATACTTTTCAAGAAAATCCATGCAATAAAACTTACTAATATATTATCGGACATATACTTTTAGAAGGAACAACTGGACATTTGAATCAAACAACATATTTTTCTTTATAGTTATGCATTTTATTGTAAAAAAAACTGATAATTTTTCCAACACCATTATATTACGATTGCGTTAACAAACACTTCTGAACGAAGGGTACTCAAAGAGTTATGTAATTCTAAAGAGATAAAAGAAAAAGATTAACAAATGACACAAAACTAATATTCCAATAGTTTTTTTCTGAACACTTGGTGTAAAACACTTCATACAAAATTCGATTTCTCCTGCTTGGTTAATATTTACCAAAAATAATAATAATAATAATTCTTAAATAACGTGTACGACTTCTCTAAAATGGGTATGTAAAAATCTTCATGTATATGTAGAAGTTATTATTAGTATTCTTCCTTGGTATACAGCTATGGCTGTATAAATATAAAATACATATATCTACATTGAGGAGAAGGGTCTATTTTAAGTATAAAAAATTTGTGAAGAAAAAATATTTAGATGGGGTTGGATTGCATTAAAAAAGAAATGTTATCATCAATTTTGTTGAAGAAAAATCCATTTTGCAAGAAATCACATAGATTAGAGACACCTGTTGTAGCACACGCAGTATCCTTTAGTTACAGTCTTTCGCCCATTGTATAAATTCCGGCAATTCGCTTACAGTCAAATTACGTGATAATGCTTTTACACGTAAATTACGATCAGTTGTTATGAGAACCAATTCAGTTTGTATGAAACACTTGCCATCTGTAACAAAAACAGGGGACATTTTAGTAATATTCGACTATTTGTCGCTTGCATTTACCTTTGACAGTCTCAGTGCTCATAGTTTTTGATAAAGCAACAGCGGTAGCCAAAATTTTATCATCATTCGATACATGTTCTTCCTCTACTAAAGCAAACAGTGATGCATTTATTATAGAACCTTTAGTAGTGGCACATCTAAATAAAAAAAAATTAAGCCAAACTTGCATTAATATTCTGACCAAAATGTAATATCATTTGATAATTCAAATATGAAATTTATGAAGTGAAGAAAACAACGTACTTTACATGACTTTTGGCAGATTTTATAAAATCCAACGACTTTTTGGCTCTTGTTGATACATCGTCATAATGATGTATACGATGCTTTTGCATGGTTTCTAAGCTTGATTCCACTTTTACACCCTTCGAAAGACCATCGAGTTCCTTAACGACTGTTTAAATTAAAACTTAAAATATTTTCTGCTATCATGAATTTATTATGCAATCAAATACTCACCCGTTAGCGGAACTATTAGAGTATATCGTTTGAACTCATTTACAATACGCTCAAAATCCTCTAAACAGTCTATGAAGCAATTCGTATCAGGCAGCAAATATTTAGGTCTGACTTCAATATACAACTTTGTGTCCACAAATTTTAAAATTTCCTAAATAATAAAAAACATTAAGAATAGCTATATTTTATGACAAAACTGCAACGTACCTCCAATTTGTTCGAATACATTTTCTTTACATTTGATTTCGCTTCTAATTCACGTTTCAATTTAGACAATTGTGATAATTGGTCATTTTCCATTTTAGCATTGCTAAAACTTGCTTTTAATAATTTGTTTGATGTTCTCACATGCAATGCATCACCATTGACAACAATATTTTCCGCATTGTTCTCAACGTCTTCCGCAACTTTATCATCTATATCATTTGAATCGCAATTTTCATTGCTATCCCCAACTGTGACATTTGCATTAAAGGACTGGGAGCTTTGCAAATCATCCAATGCCTGCTTTATATCTGAATTCAAAACTTCGTTTATAAAATGTGATGTTTCAACATTTTCCAAACGTTGACAATGCTCTCTATAGAAGTTTTCGAAATCTCCAATTATTTTCAACCTTGCCTTGAGCTGTAAACCTTCATCGGATAGTTGGTCATCCTTTGGTTTGGGAATTATCGCGGCTGTGGGTGTAAAGCCGGCCAAAAATATATCTTCTTCGAATCTAACCTCATTTTCGGATGGAAGAACTAAATTTTCTTGTTTAATGAGTTCGAAATATTTTTCAATTTCATGCCACGAGTTAAAGTATATGTGCCTAGATTAATTCAAATTGTTAATTGTTATTAAAATATAAATTGTTGTTAATAAATATAACTTACTCCTCATTTTTAATGGGTTCCCAAATGTTTACATGATGTTGAAGCCACAAAACATAGATTCTAATATACTGTAGCATGGTAGTCAAATCCACAAACCTATATAGGCAGAATAACTCATTAAAAATTTCAAGAAAATTGCTTAAAGTAGTTACTTTTCATCGTCGAATTCCTCCGGATTGTCATTTAGATCGACCAATAATGAATTTGTTTTACGTAACAGTAATCCAAAGAATTGATTGCAAAAGTTAAACGCATGATAACGTCGAGTGTCTTAAATAGAATGAAATAAATATTGGTTAGCATCGGCATGGCAGTTTGGGATGCATAATATATAACCTTTATTTAAGTTATGCTCCATCACAAATATATTTAAGGCCAATATTTTCAAAAGTCTTGTTCTTGTAATTCCTAATTTGTTATGTTGCAATAATACGTCGAATTGCATTAGCAATTTTCTTTGATTATCTACTATGGTTTCCATGCTGACAATTACAATTATAAGATCGTTATATATCGTTCAAAAATAATTATATATAGAACTTACCCGACACCATTAAATAACTTGCCAATGATATACAGATACAGTGATACTATGCGACGCAGAAGCTTTAACAAAAGTTTAAAAAAAAAACGGTAAAAAACAGCATTTGTAAATTATGTTTGGAGATTAAGGAAAATTACCTCTTCTACAGGCATTTCTTTAAAACGTTTTTCTTCACTAACCGCCAATTTATAGTTACTATTGCCGTTTAAGTCAGTACGATGCAAACGACGCATACCATCTGGATAAATCCATACTTCTTTTCGCATTGATTTAGACTGTGAGTTATTGTTGCTGTGATGAATGTTAGCATGTATAGGAGACGATTTCAATTCAGTCTCCTCGTATTTCTTGCGTATTTCATCGAATAAAACTAACAGGGATTCTTTTGATGAGTATATGGCATTGGAAGACATAAGGCTACGCATATGGAAGTAAATGGCGTCGAATTTTTTACGCTATAAAAAATATTTAGTATTATTGTATTGTCATTGCAATGTTTCCGATTACATACATTAAGTATTGCTATGATGGCCAATTGATTATAGGGTACCCCATTTGACGGAACTAAAGCTTGAGCACTTTGATAATATTTTTCTGCTGCACTGTAATCTTGACCTTGAGAATCTTTGATTTTATAACGCCACAAATCTCCCAGACATATTAATATTTTTTGGGCCATAACTTTGGCTATAAACTCTAGTTTTTGTTGCGAACGTTGGGACGAAGATGATGAAGTGCCATGTGTCAAAACTTTCTTCTTGGAAAGATATTGTTGTTCCAATTCATGATAGAGATTCTCATAGAACTTAATACCATCATCAATTATTGCTCGTATGTATTTAATGACTTCAGCTTCACCTTGTTGCTGTTCTTTCAAATGTTCCCTCATGTTGTAAAAAAGAACTTTCCAAAAAAAAGAGTCAACCTTTTGCTCACAACAAAATTTAAGGTTTTTTAGTAGCAGTTGTTGGAATATATCTTGAAGTTCTTTGCGCAGTGTACACAAGTAATTCCACTTCTGTAAGAAAAATAAGCTATCGAAGCAAATGTTGAAATTAATTATAAAAAAATCTACCTCAATGACTTGATTTTGTTGCATTATCTGCTGAAGTTTTTCAAACAAAGGAGGCAATCGATTTGCCCAAGTTTCTTCCAAAAGCTCAAACCAATTTGGGTGATTTATTCTTTGGACATGTCTCGCCGGAGACATTGGCATAATATGTTTCGATGTTGATAAGACTTCCTGTCTTGTCTGATGTCTGTTGCGTCGCTCATGGTTGCGCAAACCATTCGAGGAGGACGATGCCGCCGACAATGGTGTTTCATTCATTTTCTTTGCATTTTCGGCATTGAGGCGTATCAAACCTGGTATAGATACTTCTTCATGGCGGTCAGCATTCTCAACCGCGGGTTTCTGTAGCAATTTCACCTGCACGACATTTGTTGTAGGTCCGCTGGATTCCAAAACGGACCGAACAACGTTCCCTCTGTGTTCCACGTCTGTTCCAGCTGGCAATCGCAAAAAGTAATCAATGGTTGTCACTTCATCGTCCATTGGTGTTGGCCTTTTATCGGCCGCCACAGCCACACCTGCATTTTGCTTTTCCAATATTCCATCGCTGCTAGTCCTTGTATTCTCATTGCTTTTGCTCCCGCCTTTTTTATTTGTGTCTACCACATTGCCACCACTGCTGCTATTCCCTTCACGTATAATGATTTTATCCTGTAGTCGTTTTGGTAAGTTCCCGATAATTATGGAAATATCATTTTGTTCTCGTGTTCCCTTTCGATTCATATTTTAAACACAACGCCATCAACCGCATTTATGGTTCTTTCTTTTTGGATGTTTTGTAATGTTAAAATTACACTCGCGTTTTTAGGAAACAAAATAAATGTATAGTCAAGGTAGATGTATCAGGTACTCGCATCGGCGAATTGCTACAACAAGCTACTTTAAATGTCAAAATAGGCACCCAATGCGAAAAATAAATTCGCCTTAAGGTCCAAAGATTGGGGCAAATTTGCTTCAACAAATCAAAACAAGATATTTGTTTACATGTTGATGCATGTTCATTTAATAAAATATTTCTATATTTTAATATATTTGTAATATTACCTAAAGAGAATTTGGAGTATGGAGACAAAAACATTAGTTGTGTTCCAGTTCTTTTTTAGTAGTAAAACTAGCAGAAGAGAGAACAGTACGAAATGCCACTCTCATTTAGGTGTGCTCAAAAAATAAGGGAACGGGAAATTAGCAGAAATGCGCTAAAATGTCAACATTCAAAATTCCAAAAGAAAACAGTCTAAATCGGACTGGTGAAACCTTATTTAAATGGACGCCAAAATTTAATAAATGAGTATTGAAAATAAGTTAAAATTAATAATTATTTTTGAATGTTTATTTAGAAAGTTTTGTTTTCAGAATGCGTTGAAGAGTATTTAGAGGTGGAGTTTTCTCAAATCCATTTGTTGTTACGCGCGAACATTGGAATTTATAAGTACATTTTTCAACCTTGTTAGCCCTGCCAATTAAATGTCAAATTTACAATTTGCACATTTCTGCTCGGCGAAATTCATGTAGCTAAAACAAGCAGAAATGTGCACCACTCAACGCCATTTTTTTTCGAGAGAGCTGCAAGTTTTGCTAGTTTTTGGAGTACGGGAACGCGTTGTAGTAGAATTAGCACTAATTAGTACTAACTTGTAGGTTCTGGAACACAACTATTTTTTGTTGCATTCGTTATAGCAAAGTAATACAGGTAGCCGCATCAACGGATCTCTTTTGGAACGATATTTTTTTATGAGAAGTAAAGAAAATATTATAATATTTGTAATATACATATCGTAACAACCTCTAAATGTCATTGTCCAAGAAAAAATTTAATAAGTAACGTATTTTTGCAGAAGTTTTTAATTATTTTTGATAATATAATATAAGTTAGTGCTGATACATCTACCTTTCTTCTTCTACCGTTTCATTCACTTGGGCGAATTCAACATCAGAACATATTTCAAGGTAGATTAGATCTACCTTGACATATTGTTTTGACATTTGATGGTGTCGTCAGCTGAGCAGGTCCGGGATCTGCCTTGGTAATAGTAGTTTTGATCAGACAATGAAGTGCAACGATTTTTCGGTGACGGCGCACTATTGAGAAGCACGTCGGCGCCAAACGCGCCATCCTTTTTGCCAACTCGCAGCATAACTTCCGTTGTTTTGTTCCAAACCCTACAATAATCTACAGTTGTTTTCGATACCTTAAAAGTTTTATTACATTTGCCATTTTGCACATTTTGGCAAAAAAAAAAAAATAATATAAATAAATAAACGTTTCTTCACTCCAAAAATTTGCAAAAAAAAAAGTTCATGGCGTTCTCTTCTTCTGTACCTATGTTCTGTTTAGAAACTATTCATCATTTACCATCTTGTTTAATTCAAATCCTCGTGGTACCCGTGATAGCATTTAACAACTATTTTTGACAATGTACGCCCCTATTACCCAAATACTCCTGGTCCGTATCTTAAAACTACCGACTAATAACGTTGTTAAAATTTATCATTTTTAATGTTCATCCATGGTACAATAAAAAGGTAATATAGAGCTACCAGCTGATTACATTTTTTTTCAAAGTGTGCCCGATTTCTGCCAATTTTATGTATGCAGTTTTTTGTTTTGAAAAATAAAAACAAAATAATTTCAAAATCATTTTTTGGAAGACGAGTGCATTGCGAGACACGCATTGAAGCTATGCAACAGTTTTGCTATGTAATTAAAAGATCGAACTATTTAGATCATATTTAAAAAAAAAAAATCAGGGTTTTCTTTCATTTTTCGAGCTGTTTGATTTTAAAAATGAGGAAAAATATTGAATAAATGAAAATAACTTGTTTGCATGCAAATTTGAGAGGAAGCGGACTTAGCCTCAGGGCTGTAATTCTGTAATTTTACGAAGCTGTTCTATTGCCTTATTGTACCATGCGTTTATCCAAATATTAAAAGCCAGCCGATGACTTAAACCAGCCAAATAAGCGCTTTATGTATTCCCAGCTTAAATTGGAAATAATTTCAAATTATTTTCTTTTTTATTCAAAACTATACACACAAATACAAACTGTTTATATGTAGACAGAATAGGGGGCAAGAATAAGATTGTATTTAAGAGATAGCTTTTTTATACCCTCCTCCATGTATATTAAATTCGTCATTCCGTTTGTAACTCATCGAAATAATCATTTTAGACCCAACAAAGTATATATATTCTTGATCAGCGTAAAATTCCAAGACGATTTAGCCCTGTCCGCCCATCTGTCCGTCTGTTGTAATCACGCTACAGTCTAAACGAGTTAAGATAGGAAGCTAAAATTTTGTACAGATCTCTCTTTTGTCTGCAGGCAGGTCAAGTTCGAAGATGGGCTATATCGGTCCACGATATCGTATATCTCCCATATAACGGTACCTCCCGATATTCGGTATTTTATGATTTGACCCACATTTTTCATCGGAATTGTCTGAAAATCCACACAAGAAATTCCTTGTGGGTACTTTATACCTCAGCAGAGAATTATCTATATAGATCCACGATATCGTAAAGACCTCATATAACGGTACCCCCGATATTCGGTATTTTGATGTTTTTAGCCATATTTTTCAACGGAATGGGTTTCTTTGTACACAAGGGGTCTTTGTGAGCACTTTAGCCCCCGACAGAGAATTCTCTATATAGGTTAACGATAACGTATAGCTCCCATATAACGGTACCCCGCGATATTCGGTATTTTGATGATTTTAGCCACATTTTCCAATCGTATTGTCTGAAAATCCACACACGGTGTTCTTTGTGAGCACTGTACCCCTGAAACGGAATTGTCTATATAGGTCCACAATATCGTATATCCCCCGTATAACGGTACTCCCCTATATTCGGTATTTTGATGATTTTAGCCACTTTTCCAATGGAATTATCTGAAAATTCATACAAGGAGTTCCTTGTGAGTACTTTACACGCAGACATAGATTAGTCTTTATAGGTCCACAATATCGTATATCCCCCCATATATCGGCACCTTCCTATATTAGATATTTTAAAGATTTTAAAAGAATTTTTATTGGATTTTATTTTTTTGAAATTTTTCTAATTCGTTCCAAATGGTGGAGGGTATTCAAAGTTTACTGCTTTTTTACTTGTTATCTTCTGTAATTGTGACATGTTACACCCCACATTTATTGCTGATTGCCGATTTTATTTGTACATTATCGATAAACAAAAAACCTGACTGTCTAACCACATAGCCTGGGGCCTAATGCTCGTACTCGATATAGAGTGAGATTTTGTTCGAAGTTAAATTACGATCCGTAGTTACTAATTGAATGATACGACTCGAATGGAATTATTCAAAAATTTATCGATTATTGTCAAAAAATAATCGAAATACCGACAATTGAAACATATGTTTTCATCCAAAAAGTAAACAAAACAATTGTTTGCCGCTTCATTAAAAGTTGAAAAAAATTATGGATACGTGTTTTTTTGTATTATCCTCTTCGGAAGATGAGGACGGTAATAATATAAATATAATAAGAAGACAAATTCGAGAACGTAGTGACCCCTTATCATTGTCAGAAAATGCGTAAGTATAATATGAAAATGCATGCAAGTGTGGTGTTTATAATATTTGCAATTCATTGCAGATTCCGTCAACGATTTAGACTGACAAAAGACGCTTTTCGATAAGTATTATCTAGACTAGATTTCTCCGGACATATGTCATCGTCCATTCCGGCAGTTCTACAATTGGCATCAACTTTGTCACTCTTGGCCAGTGGAAGTTTTCAGCACACTGTGGGTAATGATTTTCTTATAGGAATGAGCCAAAGCGCAACCTGCAGGGTTGTCCAGCGAGTCGCAAAAGAAATGGAACTAAAACTTTGTCCAGAACACATCAACTTTTCACCAGACCAGTCGGTTTTGTGTATGGAACATTTCTGTACAAAGTTTCGGATTCCTGGAGGTAAGAATATATTGACTTTTTCGATTCTAAAATAAAAAATGTATGCATTTTTACATTTTTAGTAATTGGATGTGTAGATGGAACACATTTCGGATTGCAGAAACCCACCGAAAACAAACACATGTTCTTCAACCGAAAGGGATACCATAGTCTAAATTCCATGATAGTAAGTTTTTATTAAATTTATTTTCATTACATATTAATATAGAAATCTTATTTAATTCACGCAGATCTGTGATCACCAACACATAATTACGGCGATACTTTCAAAATATGGAAGGGCAGCACACGATTCCTTCGTTTGGAAGCATTCCGACGAAAGGCGATTGTTGGAACAAATGTACACAAACAACAGCTTCAGAAACGGGTGGCTTTTAGGTATGTTTTCTGATTCATGCTTTAGTTAATGAAATACACGTACTTTTTGCTTTGCAGGAGACTCAGGGTATTCTCTGGAGCCGTGGTGTATTACACCGTATAGGAATCCTGCCGATGGGTCACCTGAATCAAAATTTAATGAGGTCCACTCATCAGCCAGATGTATAGTAGAGAGAACCATTGGTACACTGAAGGCCAGATGGAAAATTGTTTGCCATGACAAAAGAAGTAGATATTCCCCTGTAAAAATGGCATTATTCGGAAATGTATGTGCTGCCCTCCACAACATTTGTATCAAATTTAAAGTCCCTATGTATACCGAAAAGGATTTTAATATCGAATCTGTAACAATGGAAGTGGAAACATCTAACCATACACAACCCAATAAGATTGGTGAAAAAATACGAAACCAAATCAAAACATCATTGTACCAATCTATGTAAAAATAAATATTTTATTAAAAAAATCAACAAAAACAAAACTAATTCAATTAATACATTCTAGTGTAATTATAAATAAACAAAGCTATTCATTTCATTCTTTTATGATAAGGTACATGGGTTACTAGAAAAGTCCATAGTAATATATAGGTACAAATATACACATTTTTTTCTTACAAATCGGCCTTTTGTTTCAGCAAATTCAATTCCAACGTTTTAATCTCAAGCTCGACCTTATTTATAGCCATATTTGACTTATGCTCTTCTTCCTTTATTTTTAAAGATCTTTCTTTCAACTTATATGTTTCCTCCTTAATTTTGAGGGACTTTCTTTTACAATCTATTAGAGTATCCCAAAACAACTTCCTTTCGCGCATCCCTTCATCGTGTTTTTCTATATTCTCTTTCAAAAGATCCATCTTTGAGGCTGATTTGGTACGACGTTGAGTAGATGAAGGCACAGTGGAACCAATGCTGCAGTCCATATCATTTTCTACATCCATCAGTTCTTCCTCGTCGTTTTCCTTCCTATTCACTTCCATTCCTTTTTTTGCACCAAAACTTTGGACTGAAGAAAGCCCCTCTACAGCCGCTGATAATCCTGCTGCTTCCAGTATCAGCTCTTCTGATTGGGTGATGAGTTTTTCTTCATATGGACCTCCACCTGTCTGATTCTTTGATGCCTTGTTAAAAGATAATTTCTTCTTAACATGTTGTTTTTGGTCTGCATAAACATTGGAAAGGAAAACTGTGAAACATAATTTTTCATACCACTTTTCAATATATACCTTTCGCCACAAGGTGACATTCTTTACGGGTGGTCCTGCTCCATTTAATTTGGTTGTCAACTGCTCCCACAAACGATTGGATGACGCTCTACCTTCTGGACAATTCGAAATTTTTCCTTTGTCAAGTCCCGGGTGGTCAGACATAAAATCTGCCATAATTGCCTTTTGCTTAAAATTTATTTTGTTGCAATTCGTGCTCCTGTGAAATAAAAGGCTCAATTATATTCATTTTATTTATATAATTACATTTTTTAATACTTACATTTCGTTTTTCTTCTGTTTTGTTTTGGTCTCGACAGGTAGAATGTGGCGGGCAAAAACTCGAATAGTTTTATTCGACATATCGACAAATTTTATTCGATCACGGATACGGTAATCCAAAAATTCAAATTATCTATCGAAACAACTCGATATCGAGTACGAGCATTAGGCCCCTGATGAATGAGTGGATTGAGACACGACAAAACAATAATATTTGTAAGATACTAAAATCATGAAATATGTCACACTTAACTGACTGTGTGTACACTACTTTACATTTCATGCATGAATGAATGGAAGAGAACTAGTTTACGTAGTTCCTTGTGACAATGCATTACACTCATTCGTAAACAATAGAGGTATTCGGGGATTTTGCTTTCTCTATATTTTTATCAGGCATTCTTTTTTGTCTTTCTCATTTGATACGTTGGGGACGTCTAAACAAAAAATAAATAAATTTACCATACAATACATATAATACAATGGCTCAAGTACAATTCCTGGACAAGCTGCTCCATGAGTATTTGGTTTTTCGAGGATTTTCTAATACCATTAAAGCTCTGGATAATGAGTTACGTACTGAAAAAGACCAATCATTTCGTGCAGAAAAAGTTATGGAACAATTTAATCATTGCATTAATCATAACGACTTACAAGGATTATTATCGTTATGGAAGCATTTAGATGCAAATCTTTTTAGCAAATTGGAACACAGCTATTCCATGGGTAAGTTTTAGAAATTTGTATAGATATCTGAAAATGCTGTGACTTTCCTCTATATTTCTATAGCTGTAAAGAAATTGGAGAATAGCTTGTTAAAACTATATTTGGTCACTGCCTACAACCACAACAAGACTGAAAAGATAACAGAGTTTTTTAACAAGCTAGCTGCGGAACTTCAACAACAAAGTGAATGGAAAGATTGGTTTTGTAAGTAAAAAAGGGGGAAGATAGTGTAAAATATATTATATTTTCTACAAAAAAATTAGCAACAGCTTTTAAAAAATCTTTAAAACATTTGGAACATCTCTAGTTTAGTAAAAACTCTTCGATTTTTTCGAAAAATTTTCCAGAGGTAGGTATTTTTACCCTGATCCCGGGAAACTATTTTTTTTTCTTGAGGACGGATCCGGGACCCCAGATTTTGACCCGAAAGTCCGCGATTAAGACCCCGCCTGGACCCGGATCCACTTACCCGATATAGACAATATGGGTATCGATTGAAAGTTTATGGAAGTTTATACTGTACAAGTGGTCACATGAAGGGGCCTGGACCCGGATCCACTTACCCGATATAGACAATATAGGTATCGATTGAAAGTTTATGGAAGTTTATACTGTACAAGTGGTCATATGAAGGGGTATGTTGTCATGGTTCGGAAGTTATAGTCAAATTATCGATTTTTTGGACCCGGATTTTTTATGAAACCTCCAAAAAGTCAAAAAAGGGCCCATTATGGGGGTCAACAAAATTGTTTACAAATTATAGCTGACACTTTTACTTTTCCAAAATGCTACAATTTGCGCTAATACCTTTTTCGGGTCCAGAGATATGGGTCTTTCCATCTGCATAACTTGATTCTAACCAGTTCATTAAAATGATTTTTTTAATGAAAAGAGGGTTTATTTCGCGTAGCTGTCGTCGGAATAACAAAAGTTTTCTAAATTTGGCACTTTTTGTAAATAGCCGGCCCTCGCCGGGGCTTGAGGTTTTCTCCTCTGGGTATGTCCCACACCGGCTAACGCAAACCAAAGTTTTCTAAATTGGATACCTTTTGTAAGTAGCCGGCCTTCTGCCGGGGCTTGAGATTTTCTCCTATGGGTATGTCCCACACCGGCTAACGCGAACCAAAGATTTCTGAATTTGATGCTCACGCGAAATATACCTTTTTTTTATTGAAAACATAGTTTTAATGAACTGGTTAGAATCGGGTTATGCGGATGGAAAGACCCATACCTCTGGACTCAGTAAAGGTATTAGCACAAATTGTAGCATTTTGGAAAGGTAAGAGTGTCAGCTATAATTTGGCATCAATTTTGTTGTCCCCCATAATGGACCCTTTTTTGACTTTTTGGGGGTTTTATAAAAATCCGGGTCCAAAAAATCGATAATTTGACTATAACTTCCGAACCGTAACATCTTTCGGGTCAAAAATCTGGGATCGCGGATCCGTCCACCAAGAAAAAAATAGTTTCCCGGGATCAGGGTAAAATACGTACCACTGGAAAAAATTTGGAAAAAATTGAAGAGTTTTTACCAAAATAGAGTTAAGCCAAATATTTTTATAGAGTTTTAAGAAATAAGGGTTTTTAAAAACTAGTCTTCATTTATAACAGTTATTTTTAACGATTAAGAATTTAGGTAAAAGGGTATAAGTAGATATTATTACAAAAAGATAGCAGGACCTTTTAAGTTATTGTCTTCTTTTTTTACATAAATTAAAACGTTGAGAATTAACCGTTTTAATACAAAAAAAAGCATTGAACATAATTTATTAATACTGATATTATTTCTCATTTGCTATTTAAGATTTCCCATTTTGTCGTAATCCCGAAGAATCGCAACCTTTTTCATTGTACTTTAAAAAGGAATGGCAAGATACCTTTCAACTTTCACTGCGAAACTTTTTAGCAACCATATATCAATGTCTGCCACAACCAACGTTTGTTCGTGTAGAACAAGAGGCTGCCCTCATAAGACGTCTTCAAGAGGAGAATGCTCTTTTAAAGTCGCGACTACAACATCAGCAGCAACAATTAACTGCTTCACAAAGTTCTCAAAATCTTGCAACAGCAACAAGCTCATCTTCGGCCGGTGGAAATGTAGGAGCCGATGCACGTCGTCGTGCGTCTTGCCGTCCACAACAAAGTCTTAGTGATATTTTACCATTCGATATAAGCCCCCCGGGACATATTGTCGATGATTTTTGTATAATTGCCACTGAAGTCAATAGTGTATCTCAGGCGAGTGATGCCCAAGCTCGTGGTTTAAAAATGCTTATACGTAACATTGGTTCCGGAGGTTCTCCGGTAATGGGTCGCAAAGATAATGCCGGCCACGGAGAGAAATCTGCAAAACGTCGTTCGGGCAGTGTTGGTCGCAATTGGATATAAATCTATATGTATATAAGTAAAATATTATTGTAAATATAGTTTTATTATTTATATATATTTCATTCCAAAAATATGTAGTTGCAATATGTATGTATTCATTTTATATAAATATAGAGCTTGATCTCCAATATATTCCATAGTTAACGTTTCATATAAGAAATAAACATACTTACTATCATTATTATCATAAGAAAAATGTTATAATCTTTTTTAGCAGAAAAAAGACACCGAATTACATTGGGTTTTCATCAATGTATACAAGAGTCGAGAGGTGATCGACAGACTACAAGATCTTCATGTAAGAATGTTAGGAAATGGGAATTATTGCAGAGAGGCTAAACTGATAAGAAGTTATTAAATTAGACGGGTGTTTTAAAAACTCATTCTTTGGTAATTTTAGGGGAGGTCTGCTGATTTTGGGAATACCTCCTGTGGAATGAACTGCTTAGTGTATGAACTAAATATTTAGAACAAATTTGGCCCGGGAATGCAAAACTATGAAAGTTTTCAAAGTAACAACACATTAATGTGCATAGCAACATACAGGGTGATATGAAAAACCTACAACCATCTTCAGACTGCTGTTATTTCTAAGCCACTCGTCCGACAGCTTTTAAAATTATTCCAGTGACAGCATAATATATTTACATGTGAACAAAAGAATTTTGGTGAAAATTTTTCAGAAAAAAAGTTATTCGTGATGGAATTTACAGGGTTGCCCATATTCGACGGACCCATCTGGCAACGCCATAACTTTTGACAGAGATGTCACATCGCTTAATAACAAACCGCGTTTGAAGCGTCAGTCCAAGCAGATTCTTACCATGAGCCAATACACGCCACGCGAGCGCTCTGAAATAGTTGAAATTTACATTCAACAGAAAAAATCAATTGTGAAAACTCAACGTGCTTTTAAAACATTAAAAAATGTGAGAAGTGCGCCTTCTAAGAACACCATTAAGCGTTTATACGAAAAATTTTCGACTGGTAAGGCTCTTTCTAATCCGAAGAGGCCATATAAAAGTCGACCAAGGCGATCGGCCGAGAATATCGCTGCCGTACGAGCGATATGTTCTTGGGGACCTCTCAACAGGTCCCCAAGAACATCCCAAAAACGCCGTTCTCAGCAGTTGGGCATGGCTCGGTCCACTTTACAACGGATTATTCGCATTGATTTGCATTTGTTCCCGTACAAAATTCAATTGACGCAAAGAATGTTGCCTGCGGACAAGATTCGTCGATTGGAATGGGCCCAAAGAGTCATCGAAATGGCCGAAGATGACGAGCAATTTTGGAACAAAATTATCATGTCCGATGAAGCCTATTTCACATTGAACGGGACCGTAAATAAGCAAAATTGCCGTTTTTACGCCACTGAAAATCCTCAGAAGATTCAAGAAGTGCCTCTTCATGACGAAAAAGTCACAGTTTGGTGCGGCGTTAGTACGAAAACGGTCATTGGGCCGTTTTCGTACTATTCTAGTTTGGCGTTTGACTTTTTTGTAGTTTTTTTATCTCACCCTGTAGAATCAAAATCTTATAAAAGCGGATGGTTCAGATGTATGATCAAAAGAAGAACATTGCAATAGTTTTATGTAAAATAGGTTTCTATCTGTTAAGCCTATTGTTAAGCCTATCAAATATCTCAAATTGAATGATCAAATATCTCAACCCAAAACGTAAACCCAAGTAGAAAACCCAAAAAATGTTTGAAAATGTATGTAGCTTAAAAATACCAAAATTTTGTCTTTTTATGGGGCAATGCCAAAACATGAACCTATCTGAAAATTCGCTGAACCTACTACAAACCTCTGTAAGTCAAATAATTAGCCATTCTCATCCATAACTCGGCGATTGCAGTAGCTCGCTGATGTCAAACATCAGCTATGCCTCCACTAATTAACCTACCTTTTATTTATTCCACAAAAAATGAAAACAATTGCCATTTATTCTTTTATTTGTAACTTGTTTTAATTCGTTTATTTGCTTCTCGATTTGTTTGTTTGCTTGCTTGTTTTTAAGTTAATTATTATCAACTAAATTGCTTAATAAAACATTGATTTTTGCTTATGGAAATTTAACTGAAGGAAACTAAATCTTACACAAATACAGGCTGGTTTGTTTGCTTGCGTTGTAGCTTTAAAATAAATAAGATTATTAATAATTATTTGTTTATAATGTAAAATTAGAATTATTGCAAATTAGAGAAAGAGAAATATTAACTGAATAATAATTATAAATGAACTCTTAAATATAGTATGTATATATATTTTTTGTTTTATACGTAATAGCCAATGAAAAATAATTTAATTTATTCTTTTTAAAATTTATTTTAAATAATAATATTATGATAATACACAAGTATAAAATACCTACGATTTGTACAAAGGCATATATGTAAATGAAAGGCTTAGTTAAATTGTTTATAATATTGAAGACTTATTGCTAACAATATTTCAATAAATAGCTGCTTTCTTTCTATTTGAAAATTAATTCACAATTATAAATAAATCAAAAGTAGTGGTAGGTTTTAATACAAAACTATTTTCAAATAGGAAATTTACATAATTGTTATGAAAAAAAAAACAATAATGATAAGTAAAAGTGCAAGAACGCCAATGAAATCGATATCTGATATGAGCATGATCGATGATGGCAATACCATAAATAGGTAATCTGTCAAAATTAAAACAATTGTTATAAAAAATAATTATTTTTAAAAAATTATGTCGAACCGAGTTAGAAGTGGACGGGAGGGAATTTTTGAAGATTTTTTTTGCCACTCTCTGCAAAGGTACTCAAATTTTCTGAGACAAATCGACATCATTGGGTTGGCAGTTTAGAAAAAAAGGAGCATGCTAACATTTTTTTTTGAAAAGAACACGAAGGTGCCTTGCTAAACATTGCTAAGTTACTTTTTTTTTTGTTTGATTTGTTGTATAATTTAAATTTTTATTTCTTTTTTTTATATTGTATATATAACTTAGGAAAAAGCTCACTATCTAGTATATGAATAACTAAATTCCATATGATTTGATTGTTTTGCTTGATAATATGGTATGATATATTAAATTTTTTTCCAATATAATTAAATGCATAGGTTCTGGTATTCTTTCTATAATTGGCAGATGTATCTTTGTAATATTAAGGCAAAAGGAATAAAGTTCGTCTAGAATATACAGAATTTATAAAGAAGGTTAAAGATTGATGCCAATGAATAAAAATATGCAATACAATCCGAAATTTATTTAAAACGCTCAAAAATGTTTCCTTGTGTGACATTTACAATCAGCGTTTCCTTTCCAAGCATAAAGTATGGAGCATTGACATTTTGGGGATAATAAAAAAGAGAATGTGAAAATTGAACATTTTTTGTGAAAATTGAACATTTTTTGCTGTTGTTGAACATTTTCTAGTGTAGAACAAATATTTTACAAAGACCTTATGCGCTAGACCAAATTTGTCTAGGTTTTTTGTGGCAGTAAGAAAAAGGAAATTCGAACTCAATCCATTTTGCCCTCCTACATAATATTATTAATTGCTTTTAAAGTTTGTTTTTGCTTTTTTTCATATTATAGCTCTCATTTTCATTTCACTTTGTCTCCAAAACAGAAAATCCTCTTATAAAGCAGTCTCTAATGCTGGCATATTGGCTAAGGAAGCAGCTGTTGTTGACATTGCATTGGCAGTGTTGGTACTGGGCAACCGTACATTTTCCATCGATGGATTTGAAACATTTACATTGGCCATCATTGATGTTAGCGTAGATATGTTACCGCCACCGGCAGCCACATTACTGCTATCCGTCAATGGTTTCATAATGGGTTCCACCTTACTAACAATCGGTTGCTTTGCTGCATCAGATTTTGGGCGACCAAAACTTGATCTCAATTCACTGCGCATAAAATTATTCTCTTCGGCTTGTAAGAAAATATTACGTTTTATATTGAAACTTTCATCATCGATAATATTTTCTTCCTCGGAGTTCTTCGAATTATTTAGTGAACTATTTGCCGAATGATTATGGTGATCTTCTTCACTGTTGGCTTCAGGTATGGTCGTGGACATAATATCGGTGCGTTGTAGGGAATTGGAACGTGTAGTTTTCAATTTGGGGGCAAATGATTTGGAAGGTGAACCAAATTGACCCTGACGCAACATACGGCGATTGGCAAATGTTTTGGGAGAACCGCTTAAGTCTAAAAGTTTCATAGAAGAGTTCAGTTGAGAAAGAGTTGGGCCACCAGTAATACTAATGGGATTTGAGGCGGTAGTGGAGGATGACTTGAGGGGAGAAGACAATTGAGAATTTTGTTGATTGGTAAGGTTGTTTTTCTTCAGTAGTTCCACGGCGGACATTTTCTTGGGTAGAGTACTGCTTTTGGCCGATTTGGCCAAGAGTAGACGCTTAAAATCCATAAGACTGGTTTTACTTTGGCCAATGCGATCGGCACAGGTATTCAAACGTTCTGGCGAATTATCGTCCCAATTCCGGAGGCGTTGTTTGGCTGGTATATTATCAGCGGGCAGAGAGGAATCCGAATTACGTATGGGTGTTGAAGTGAGGAAATTGTTGTTGCGTTGACGCCCAGCACTTGGTGAGGCTGGAAGAGTTGCTGGATTTGTGGCCTCTGCAACTGCTGCTTGCTGGCGCAGCTGCTGCTGCTGTTGGGCCAGGGCCAATCTTTCGGAACGCTTTAGAGGCGTGGCATATAAATCATCACGACTCAGAGCATTGGCTGGAGCCTGCGGTTTTACCGGCCGGCGATTTTGCAAAGTCCAATAAAGCGGTGAATTGCGTTGGAATGTCGAGCCCGCTGCTGGATTTTGGCTTTGATTTAAAGTCTCATAATAGGGCTGTATCATGGCATCCACTTCATCGGGACGTTTATATAAATGTTGATAACCTAAGACAAAGAGAAAAATGACAAAAATTATTATTAATGAAATATGTAAAAGGCTACTGTTTTTAGTTTGAATAGGTACAAAAGCTGAGATTTATAAACCCTTGAAACCGCACACAAATATATAAATTCAACAAATATTGGGTTAAGAAAATTAGTAGTTTATTTAATATTAAGTTTGCCAAAACTAATCAAAGTGCCAGGTAGGGTAAATAAGAAACAATATTCAATAATATCAATATTAAACAAATTACTACAACAAACATTAGTACAGTACATATAATAACAATTTGATATGAGTTTGTTTTGCAAATCAGCTACCTATACAGATAATTTACATACATATTTTTCTATATTACATAAATTACAATTACAAAAGAGGGAAAAGAAAACCGAGGAGTTTTTTTTTCAACATCCTGCTACGAGTTTCAACATTTCCCCATTAATAATAGACCCCATAGATAAAGAAATTACCTACCAACTGTCTCATATGGGATGCATAGACATGGAAGTTATTACATACATACAGACACAAATGATTTGTAGTACACCACCTACACATATATAGTTCCGACTATATACACAAAGAGAACATCACACAATATAAATGTACTATTGAGGTCATTTGACGATGATACATACCTGTTGACATCCTTGTTACAAATTCATTTAACTTTTATCATCATTTATTCGGTGTACCTACAGGCTCTATTTTGCAATACGTTGTGTGGTGGCAGATTGTGATTCCACACAATGACATACCGAAGTACCCGATGATTTTGCAAGTACAAATTTTGTGCCCTATATTTTACATACATGTGCACGGGATATGGGGGGATGTGGGGAGGGATTTGCGCAACAAAACCCACAGTTGTAGGATGTTTATTGTCTAACTTATTCATAAAGAGATGTCACATATGAGAATTGTTATAATTTTAGCTATTATTTCGTGTACGTACGCTAGGCTGAATTGGTTTTCTATTTTCAAAGAAGAGTTTGAGTTTATTGCTGATCTATTTGAAAATAAGGGCCTAACTCTAGTTTGGTAAAAACCCTTCGATTTTTTCAAAATTTTCCCAGAGGTATGTATTTTTACCTTGATTCCGGGAAACAATTTTTTTCTTGGGGGATGGACCCGGTATCCCAGATTTTTGACCCAAAAGTCTTGGTTCAAGACCCCGTCTAGACCCGGATCCAGTTAACCGATATAGACAATATACAACAATATCGTTGGAAATCTTATGAAAATACCTATCACATGATTTTTTGAAACTGGATTTTTTATAAAACCTCGATACAAATATTGTCTATATCGGGTCCATTCCGGGTCTTGAAGCCGGACTTTCGGGTCAAAAATCTGGTGTTCCGGTTCCGTCCCCCAAGAAAAAAATAGTTTACCGGAATCAGGATAAAAATAACTACCTCTGGATTTTTTTTGGGAAAAATCGAAGAGTTTTTACTAAGCTAGAGTTGTTCCAAACTAAAACCCCCTTGACGTACACAATTTTTATCCGATTGACTATTCACAATAATATATGTTTTTTACAGCTTCATTTCTTGTGATTGGTCAATTATTAGGGTTAGCTTTGTAAGTTTAATTACGTTTACATACAGGGTAAGATGAAAAAAACCTGTAACAACATCAGACTGCTGTCATTTCTAATCCACTCGTCCGACAGCTGTTTAAATTATTCCAGTGACAGCACATTATATTGTTTACAAGCGTACAAAAGCATTTTGGTGAGAATTTTTTCAGAAAAAAAGTTATTCGTGATGGAATTCAAGCGTGACAGTGTGATTTCTTTATATTTGGCTGGAAAACCACAAGTGGTTATCGTTAGAGCACTCCAGAAAAAATGTGAATAAATCTTTTGTGTCTCATACCATCGCTCGTTACCGTGATACTGGTAGCGTAGCCACACGTCAAGGAAGTGGGTGGAAGAAAACAGCAACATCAGCAGAAATGGGTCGAAAAGTAAAGAAGCAACTTGATCGAAACCCAAGTCGCGGGGGCCGAAAAATGGATCGTGAGCTGAACATATCGCAATATTCCATTCGGCAAATATTGAAATATGAGCTCGGGGTAAAGCCATTGAAATTCCAAAAAGTGCAAGAACTTATACCGCAACAGAAAGAAAATAGACTCAAAAGAGCTAAAGAGTAGCTTCACTTGGCTTTAAGTGGTGAACTGCTGATTTTGGTTTTCTCCGATGAGAAAACATTCGTTGTCCAGCAGTTTGTAAATAAACAAAATGATCGTGTTTACTTGCCAAAGAGGTCAGCTGAAAATGTTTACCTTCGGTTGTCCCCCGAGATCTCAAGCGCCGGCCGATGGTCGCTGTCCGCTCGTATTAATCGACCGTGGCATAAGAATAAATGCCGAATATTAACGCGAAAATATTCTGGAGGGTGTATTAAAGCTTTGGACATTCCAACAGGAATCAGCACCATCGAACTCAGCACGCGCCACCCAAGAATAGTTACAAAATGAGGTTCCTCGCTTAATTTCCAGCGCATAATGGCCACCAAAATTTCCGGATACTAATCAGTTGGACTATTGTGTCTGGAATATTTTGCAAAGCAAGGTTGGCACTAAAAAATACCAAAGTGTCGATCACCTCAAGCAAGCGCTTCGCCGGGAATGGGCCAAACTACCGCACAGCAACATTCGGGCAGCGTTTGATGGTTTCATTGGCCGTTTGAAGGCTATAATTCGTGGCAAAGTTGATCAATTCGAACAAATTCTAAATTCGAACAATCATATTCTAAAATTGTATGCTATTTCCGACATTTTCTGCTTTCATTCAATAATATTTAAAAAAAAAAAAATAAATTATGGCATTTGACTTTGTTGCAGTTGTTTTTATCTCACCCGGTAAATAAGCTGTCGCATCATTAGAGATGACAGATTCATATTTTCGATAAACAATAGACGCCGTTACGAATTATCAAATTAAGGGTGGGAATACATAAATCGCATATTTGGCTGGCTTCTTCGTAGGGGGAACAAAGGAGTTTTGGCTTGACTTAGGGTGGAAATACATAACGCGCTTATCTGGCTGGCTTAAGTCATCGGCTGGCTTCTTCGGAAATGAACGAAGGAGCCTAGGGCCAAAATCGAACTATGTCAGCCGATGACTTAAGCCAGCCAAATATGCTCTTTATGTATTTCCAGCCTTAGTTCGGGTTTGGTCCTAGGCTCCTTTGTTCATTTACGGAGAAGCCGGCCGATGACTTAAGCCAGACAAATAAGCGCTTTATGTGTTTCCACCTTAACGTCGATGTCGACGTAATAAGTGATGCCATCCCGAAACGGCGGTGTCGGCGCCGCCAAATAGAATAAGGGTGATTGTGTGCTATAAATGAATTTAAATATCCATTCAATTTGTTGCTGAAATTACGTTAACATTGAGCTAGCGATTTTTTTTAAATTTAAATTAGGGTAACACATAGAAAAATTACGCTAGGTTTAAAAATCATATATCCGATTATTTTTTTCCAGTAAAAAAATGTGTAGCAAAACTCAAAGTTTTTGTTAACGAAATGACTTGTAGAACTGTGCTAAATACATTTAGAAGTCGTTCAAATGTCCTCTCATGTTGTATTTAATTGTTTAACCTCAAGTTCCCCTTTAAAAAGCCACAATAATTGCAGAAGGTTACCATTATAATTGTACCGCGCATAAACTTTTATATTGATACATCCTAATGTATGATTTTTTTTTTTTTTGGTTGAAAAAGAAATTAAAATACCCAATTCCATGTTTCAAATATGGTAAAATAATACAGGTAGAGGTGTCAACGCTTGGGAACATTGATATGTCAAAATTTTTAAAAGGTTTTGACAAAAATAAGTAAATTTTTATAAGTTTTCTTACAAGATACAAATCGGGGATTGTTATGATACGTATTTTGAAAATTTTTTACAAATTTCAATAATTTCTCATTCAATATTTTCAATTCCAAAATTGGTTTGACAGTTCATTGTCCCAGCAGCTGTGTCGATGCTACTATCAGTATTGGTCTACCATGATTTTAAAACAACGCATTTGTATATACATATGTACAGTAATACTATTAAGGTGTGCCGTGTTCTAATGATAACATGATGTGCATCACCCATTTACACTGACGTGATTTTCACTCAACCCAAAATATCCAACAAATACATGTATGAATGCCCAGTGGAGGAATGAATGCATAATGGTGTTGATATGATTAAAAATGCCCATTAATTTTAGTTTTTATTTAACAAATATCCATGTTTTTTGTTTTCTTTTAATGATGCAAAAGTTTCTTAATAAAACTCCACGACTTGTTTAATGATTAATAATAATGCAATAATTAATAACACGTAAGGATAAGTGTATACATAATTTGTGGCCTATGCAAATAAATTATAACAAATGACAAAATGGAATGTTATTGGACTTGAGACTGACAGATGAAAGGGTGGTGTGGTGTTGTGTTGCTGGAATGTTTATTTTTTATAAATACAACAAAGATGTAAACATTACATTTAAACAAGATGTCTTAAAACTATAGAGAATTGATTAAGATGTCATTTTCATGACAGCAGTAATAATAATTAAAAAATGCAAGATTTTATAAATAAACATATATTAAAACAAAAATGATTTGCCGGGTTAACAGGAACACACATAGTAAATAAACATTAAGATAAATGGCGATAGTGTGAACATAACAATAGTTTCATAACACAAAGAAAAATCAGGGGACGGATGTTATTTATTGTGCAGGGGAAAGAGTAACTGAGAGGGAAAGTCTGAGGAAAACAAAGTAGCAGGCACTCTTAAGCAACAAGCAACCATATAAAATTTCATAATTAGTTTTACAAAACAAAAGCATACAATTAGGCGCCCAAACAGCACCATAACCACAACTGAGAATGGTTACCAAAAAAAAACATTAGCTACTTCTACTACTACGTTCACACCATGAAATGAAGTAATAATAGGAGAAGCCTTTTGCACTTAAAATTTT